GAGTAAGCTAGTGGCCTACAGTGGAGAAGCAGGAGATGCTGCAACTAAAAGAGACAGCAAGTTTCCCACGAAACCCAGTGATATACCTGTCACCAAACATTTTGTGCACTTCATGCTGGTAGACATCAGACACCGGAAAGAATTACTGTCATGAGTAGATAGTGTTGTTGCTTCATAATGAGAACATGGAGAAATATGTCTTGGAACTTGAGGGACATATTAGGGCACCACTTGATGCCCTCATGCCCAGTAAAAACAGTAAAAATGCAATAATAGCCACCATAATTTGACAAAATCCAGATTACCAATGGTTTATAGCCCTCAGAGATGAAGGTACGGGTCACTCCACCAGGCAAGCAACCTATACCAGAAGAAATGTTCCTACGATGAAGGTAATCTTGACTAGGTGATAAAGGATGAAGATAAAGAATACCAATTGTATCTTCTATATTATTTGCAGCAACAGGGTTACCTGGTTCCACCAACCTTATATTTTAAGATTTTTTTTAGAGATTGAAGCTAGCCCTCCTCATGGAGTACCAGCCACAAAGTATTTAAGAGGTGTGAATGTTGTGCAGTAGCAGTTCTTCTGAGGCCCCATCTCATGTTCCTTCCATATACCTGAGTTCAGCTGAGGCTGTGGTTTCTGACACAGAAAGAGAAACACTAGAAGAGTTTGCTTCATGGAAATCAGGTACAATCTGGAGTATCAGGGATGGACAGGATATGCCCAGAACAATCTTTGACCAAGGACAGAAATCTACATAAATGTCCTAGGCTCCCATTGCTGGGTAAGGTAATTCAGAGGCATGTTTCACAGAGTTTCTCAGAAATTCCCCCAAGGAATCAAGCTGCAGTTGGTGACAGTGATAAACTGAATGAATGTGCATTTTATTGGCATTTCTCTCTTGCCCCATCTCCATTTTCCCTCTTTTTCTTTTGACTTCCTAAGATTACCTTCTAAATAAATTATCTGCATTCAAATTATCTGCATTTGTTTCAAGATCTGCTTTTGCCAAAACCCAACATAACTCATATAATATCTCAAAATACGCAATATATAAGTTAACTATGTGCAGTACTATAAAATATAACAAAACCAGTTTCATCACTTTATATGGACACTGAGTATACCGTCTCTTCTCAGAGCCAGGTCTTGCCTAGAAATCATTTGTGTCGAAGGAATATGTGAGCCTTCCTCTGATCCTAGCAATGGGGGACATACTAAAATCCTTCCAATCCATAATGAATATAGACATGATATAATTAGATCAGCAAATCAAGCCGCGAATTGAAGACAGTTAAAATGGTCTCCATTATTCATGCTGAGAAACTGATCCTGGACAGCACTTGGCATTGCAAGAACTGTTATGAGATAAAAGGGCAAATAGCCTGCACAGTCTGACCAACATCACATTACCCAGTATGTTCTTGGAAGAGCTTTTAAAAAAGAATTCAACCTACAAAATTAAACAGTGGAAAACTGGCTCCTTCTGTTTAAGCAGAAAAGAATTTGTTTATAAATCTTAAAAGCTCTAAAATTTCAACTTACATATGTATGGTTTATTGGGCATCAGAATTAGTTAGATGGCCTTGCATGAGCACATGAACTAAAATAATATGGGAAAGGCTGTTTCAACATTTTGTGGAAGCATAAGACTCCTTAATTTTAAATTTGCTTTCTATCCATATACATGACAAAGGTCGTGGTAAAAGTATGAAACTTCTTCAGTAGTCAAACTCTCAACATTTTAAAATTAATTACAAATAACTCCCAATAAATCAAATGATGAGAAAATATACTATTTACTAAAATAAAAATGAAGTAAATAATAATAGAAATGAAAAATTTAGGAAAATCAAATAGAATAATCTGAATATGTGATATTTTCAAGTTGTTTTGATCCAATTTTATTTGGAATTTACTTAGTTGTTTTACTTTCCTTTTTACATTTCAGTTTCTCTTTCTCATTTCAGTTTCTCTTTTCTCTTTCTTTTTAATTCTCTTTTCTACAAACAACCATGATATTTAAAAAAGTGTGCTCTACTACATTTTTAAGCTAATTTAATTTTCTCTTGAAATTATTGTTGTAATTTGGCCCTAATTACTTTCATTTGGTCTCAAGTAGCGGACTGGGGCTGGAGGTGGCTGGGAAAGGAATGACTTTATGTGGATGCAAATGCCATAGTAAAAAGGCAAAGGTAAAAAAAATTAAAAGAATTTCAGAACTGTACCTTTCCTGACCTAGTCTTTTATTTAATTTAGAACAATTTGTAGTAAAAACATAACATTACAATCCTTACACTTGGAATCCGCTAATTATTTTGAGTGTAATGTATATTTTTAAGTAAACAAACTTTACAGAAAGAAAGTTACTGCTTTTGTTACTTACAGAATAAGAAATAAGAAAAATAAGTTATCTGGATTAAGCTATTGCCCAGAGTTACGTTTTTTGCTAATATACCTCTCCATAAATATAGGAAGTTATTCATATCATTTTTGTTTCACATTGGAGAAAGATTAGACAACCTCAGAAGAGAAGTATAGAATTATTGCTGAATATTCAATTTTATAAAGATTTGAAAAAATTTACTATTAATAAAAGCAATGTATCTATAAATGACGTACTTCTTAGAAAAAGTACGTCATAAATGGAGTGCCCCAGAGATATTAACAGTCTGGCCTACTTCTTCACTTTGCAAATGAGGAGGCATGCCTTTAGAGATATGTAATGACAATCTTAACCAAGTAGAAAAATAAATACTAGACAAAATGTTTCCCAGATCCTTTCTACCTTACTCCCTCAACTGTAAAGAATGATTATGGGGCCAGGAGTGGTGGCTCATGCCTGTAATCCCAGAATTTTTGGAGGCTGAGGCAGGAGGATGACTTGAGACCAGGAGTTTGAGACTAGCCTGGGCAACACAGTGAGACCCTGTCTCTGCAAAGCAAACAACTGAGTGCGGTGGCACGCGCCTGTAGACCCAGAGACTTGGGCTGTGATCACCACCCAGCCTGGTGACAAGCTGAGACCTTGTCTCAAAAAAAAAAAAAAAAACACAAATAAGAAAAAGAATGTGTATCAGACAACAATAATTTCTGAAAGTATGACTCAATAAATTATGAAAGAAAAGAAGATACACCCATAATAGGTAGTATTAATCACCAACATTGATATGATTCTTTTAGGCTTCAAACTTTCAACGACTTTATCTTCACTTGTTTCACTATTTGCTTCCCACAAAAGGTGATATTTAATTGAGAAATAACCTGGTTCTATATATAATATGACCTAGAAAAAGTAGAGCAGCTGATGTCATAGGTGACATAAAAACTGCTTTTATCTGCAAACTTCAAATTTCTCAAAGGAATAAAAGCAATTTTCCTTAAGAGTTTCATTCTAGATCTAAACTTAGGTAATTTTTTAAAGGAACAAATTGTTTCACCAAACTCCCATCTGTCTTTTCTCTTGGTTCCAGTAGAGATTGTTCCCAAGTGAGAGTTATGTAAACAGCCTCGTTTTAGAATAGATGGGACCTTTTCCGCTTCGTTCTCAAGCCCTTCCTTCAGAGCCCATCAAACGTGGCTTTCTTCAAGCTGTCTCTATCGCACTTGACAAAGGAGATAACGCCCACATGTTTCTTACAATTCAGATATCTCCTTAACTAGAAATAGTAGATAAGCAAAAACTGAAAGGAACTTTTATTTGGCACCTAGGAAATGGAAGGAAAGCGGTTTCTCTTTTTTTAACCCTCAACCTAAAACAAATTAGGAAAAGACATTACTTGTGTCTTCTTTTTCATGTCCTCAGGAAAAAGCCATAGCAGGTGTCACAGCAGAACCAAGCAACCACTGAATTATAAGTAGCAGTGAATCAAAAAGTAGTGCTCTCGGTACATACATGCGTACCTATGTGTGTGTGTGTATTTGTGTATGTATAAAATAAAGTGGGAAGAAGTTTTAGTAAGAGAGATACAGTGTTTTCCCTATTTCATCATTGTGATTAAAGCCAAACCATACTTAATCCAATTATGTCCATATATATAAACAGAGGCATACGTATAATATAAATATAAAAGCTTTCAAACTGTTCTGAGACAAACACTGAAGCATATAAAATGCTGGTTCGATTATTTAGGTACATCGATATTTCAGATTTTAATTTCTTATTTGAAGTCAAGATTGCAAAACTCTAGCAACAGTCTTTATAGAGCAGAGTAAATGAAAAAATAAATACATAAAACTATTGCAATACAAGATATAAAGTACTCTTTCTTAAATGCTTATGAATTTTTTATAGTTCATTCAAGAAGAAAAAAGTTATTAACAATATCAAATGCTTTGGACTCTTTTGATTTTTAGGAATCTGTTCCATCGTCCATGAATTTTTCTCAAACTTACAATACATGTTTCATTAAACTGTCACAGTGAAATAATTTGGTGATCTGATAAGCAATTAGAAAAAGTAAGAATAATCCTGGCTTAAATTAAATATAGAATAGAGAGATAGTGAGCTAGGAATAAAAACAGGTAATTTGCTTTATAATGCTTGCAAGTCTCAGTATTTTTCCTTCAAATCTGCAAATGTTAGCATTATCACATGACCTACTCATCCTCACTAAAACATCATTGTACTTAAACATCTTTGCTTATAAAAAGATTTAGTGTAACATTTGATCTAAATCGGAATCATTTTTTTTATAAAACAACATCTGCATGCTACTTTTGCAATACTTTAAAGGTTTGAATCTCGTTACTAATGTCACACATAGTAAGACCTGGTTTCTTTGTTAAATTCTGGCAGTGGATGCGGTCCCTGGCATGTTTGGGCTGTGGGAGGAAGATAGCTCGAGGTCTCTGCTGTCACGCGCTCTGTGTCACACATCGCCCGAGCTGACGCCCCACACAGAAGCAACGGCAATGGATGAAGGAAGGGAGCAGTAGAAAGGGCCACTGACCGCCATTCAACTTACTGAAATTGCCCACTCAGAACACTTACCCGGACGTTACAGGCCTCGCTTTCCCCAGGGCGAGCCCGGTGCCCTGAGCTGAGTAGGGGCAGGCCTGCCTCCGCGCTGCGCTTGCAGGGACAGGGAGAGGGTGAACAACCAGGAGTCAGAGGGGCGCGCGCAGCCGCGCACGTGGGTCTGCACCGGAGCGGGACGGCGGGGACCGGAGCGGGACGGCGGGGCCGGCGCCGTGGGCGGGACCGGAAGGGCAGGCAGGCCGACCGCTTCATCCGTGAGCGCTTCCGGCCTCCCCAAGTGGCAGAGCCCGCCTAAGGGAATTCCCCTCCCCGTGGAACATTTTCATAACAGCCACATTTATTTCTTCTTCTTGATAAAAAGGAACCTTTAGTTTGTTATTGTGAGTAATCTGGAAAATTAAATAATATATCTTGATGTCCTTAAAAATTAAGACCTCCTTTAAGCTTTATGCCATAATTCTGAAAGATAGGATTAAGATCTTCCATGTGTGAAAGAATTTAGCTAAAGAATATTATTCTCTTCTTATGGAACATAATTCTCTAGGCTCATAGTAGCTTTTGTGTAACTATTTTTTTTTACTTTTGTAACTGTGAATTTAAAGGCCTGTGTTAAAAAATAAGAGTATTTGAAGCTGAAATCATGCAGTTTCCTCTCATCCAAAGTACAGGCAGACCATAGATAAAATCATTACCTTGATAATAAAGCAAAATTAGTCTGGAAAAATGTACATGTGTAAAATACTCTTTAAAATTTTTTTTCATGTAATTTTCATGCTTCTTTTGTTATGAATATAGAAAATATATGCAGTTTCTCTTGGTTACTAAGTAGTCTATAAACTGTCTTGTTCACATTTACTTTGGATTCAAGTAGCACACATTCATTTTAGTCTGGCCCGAAGAAAGAGATACTATATTACAATATTACTGAGATGCACCTAAAGTTATTCAGGCCTTTGCATTTTAAAGGAAATTGTTCTGAGCACTCCATACCTTATTCTGTGGGCAACCCAACATCCTTGCCAAGACGGGAGAATTTCCAGGGTTTACACTGGCTGCGTGTTCCTGCATCTACGTAGTTCTTTCTCCCTCTGCCTCTCCGCTCCCCCTGCATCCTCCTCAGCGCTGCACAGATGTTTGCTTTCACCCCTTTAATTTCCTCAAAACAAACAAAATAAACCAAGCATTTATAAAATGCACTTTGCCATGTGGCAGAGCTCACACAAGTTTGGGTCACAGTAAGGACTAACGTCGCAGCCACCCTCAGGGTCACAGGCGTCGGCCGCTGCACACTCGCAAGTCCTCCAGCCACACGGGCACCAGGCCCAGCGTCTCTGCCTCAGGGCGCTCTCGCCTTTCTATTTCCCTTACTGCGTCAGGCAGGATAACTGAGCCCAGCACCTCTGCTCAGCCCTAGGGCTTGCCCTCGTGCGGACGTGCCGAGAGCCCGTCCGCCGAGGCCTTCCTCCCGTCCCGCCCGCAAGCACGGAGCAGCCGCCGGCGGTTGCGTCCCCGCTGGCGAGGGCCTGCTCAGGAGGGGCCGCCGCCCGCGCGCGCGACAGCTCCCGCGTCCTTTCTGCGCACCCGGCGGGCTGTGCCTCGCGGCGCCTCGCGACCCCATGGAGCGGGTGGCGGCACCGAGGACAGGTGCGTGTGCGGCCGTCACCGCGGGCAGGTGCGCTAGTGGGTGCGAGCAGGTGCGTGTGTGGTGGTCACCGCCAGCAGGTGCGCTGGTGGGCACGGGCAGGTGCGTGTGCGGCCGTCACCGCGGGCAGGTGCGCTAGTGGGTGCGAGCAGGTGCGTGTGTGGTGGTCACGGCCAGCAGGTGCGCTCGTGGGTGCTATCAGGTGCATGTGTGGTGGTCACCGCGGGCAGGTGCGCTGGTGGGCGCGAGCAGGTGCGTGTGTGGCCGTAGCCGCGGGCAGGTGCGCTGGTGGGCGCGAGCAGGTGCGTGTGTGGCCGTAGCCGCGGGCAGGTGCGCTGGTGGGCACGAGCGTCCGCTGCCCGGCCTGGCCGCGGGGAGCGGCGGCGAGGGCCAGGCCCGGCCGGTGCTAGGCGAGGCTGCGGGAGTAAACAATAAGCCAATTTGCTATTAAGTGACGGATGTTGCTTGTTGTCACCGCAAAAGCAGCTAATTCGGACCGTATCACTGTCACTCCGCAGGTGTGCAAGGAAGATGCCCTCAGCCCCGCAGAGGTAGGACAGGACACAAAGAAAAAAAAAAAGAAGCCCTGCCACTTAATGACACCAAGTTCCTTTTAGTTTAACCATTGTGCTTTCTGTTTAAACAGTTTCCTTTGAATAAACTCACAAACTGGGGGTTCCTCTACTGGCGGTAAGGAGCGGCTGGAGGCCGCGGCGCGGACACCCGGCGGCGCCCGCACCTGGCCGCGCTCACTCGAGGCCCCGCGCTCTCCTGGGCCCCGCGCTCCCCATGCACTTCCTGCCCGCGTCTCCCTGCCACCCTCCATCTAAGAACCATTCTGCTTCAGTAAGAGCGACCTCCTTTCTCTCCCCAAATTGACAGCTGGTACCATGGACCTCGACACATGCGAAACCCCTTGGGTGTATGTAAAACAGGTGGTCCTGCGCTACCTCTCCATCTAAACACTCCACGCCGCTGGCCTTTCCCGATGAGGTCGCCCACGGAGAGTAGGGTCGTTCCTCAAGGGAGATTCCGCTCAGAGTCTCAAATGTGAATAGAGCAAAGGCCCCTTGATTTTCACTTTTATTCAAACATAATGTCCGTTCCATTTCTGTGACTTACTTCTGGAGAGAGAAATTAAGATACAGGTGTATCATGATGTTTTCCCAACTGCAGACTCTCTGTCACAGTCAGCCAGGTCTGGGAAGAATAATCATTCCACAACCACTTCCTGTTTGACCCTTTTACAAGGTAGCATTGTCCCTTTCCTTGGGACTGAATTGGCAGAAAGTTTATTTATTTATTTATTTATTTATTTATTTATTTATTTATTTATTTTTTGAGACAGAGTCTCGCTTTGTTGCCCAGGCTAGAGTGAGTGCCGTGGCGTCAGCCTAGCTCACAGCAACCTCAAACTCCTGGGCTCGAGCGATCCTTCTGTCTCAGCCTCCGGAGTAGCTGGGACTACAGGCATGCGCCACCATGCCCGGCTAATTTTTTTTTATATATATATCAGTTGGCCAATTAGTTTCTTTCTATTTATAGTAGAGACGGGGTCTCGCTCTTGCTCAGGCTGGTTTTGAACTCCTGACCTTGAGCAATCCGCCCGCCTCGGCCTCCCAGAGAGCTAGGATTACAGGCGTGAGCCACCGCGCCCGGCCAGAAAGTTTATTTATTTGCGAATCATGTTTATGAAGATAAGAGCATACTATCATAATATGTGCATAATATTATTCCTGTTACATTACTTATACAATTATAATTGTGAGGCCAAAGAAGATAGAGTAACTTTGGTTTTTTTTAATAAGACACATGAAGATTTGTGAAAACCAGGAGCAGAGAATACAACCAGGCTTCCCAAAACACTGGAACCCAAACTGCAGACCCATTAGACATCATGTTGTTCCCTTTCTCTCTTACTCTCATCTTGGTCCTTCATCTCTGTTTCTCTGCAAATCTATTGTTTTTATTTTGGTTTTTGTTTTTCTCCTACAAACCTGAATTTAAGTGATACATGTTGTCTTACAACCCTCACCCCACCAAGTAACAACATTAACTCTCAAGCTGACATTAATAAAAGTTTAATAACTAACTTACCTTGAGTAAAATTTCAGAACCATAGCTTCAAATTTTAGGAACAGAGATTCCCCTTGGTCTTTCCTGGGTCTTTTGTACACCTGAAAACATCAGATGCTCCAGAAACATAAGGTCATTGAGCATCATCATGATTTCTACAACTCAGGCTCATAAATAGGAGAAAAAATTATCAAATTAAGAGATGTGTTTGCCTTCAGGTCAATGGTGTTAAGAAAAAAAAGAAATATATTTTTAAGACACTTGATTGGAGCAAAAAAACAAAAAAATAAAAACTAAAATTTGTGCAGCAGTTACCATCAAGTAGCCCTTGTATGTCTCCAACATGCCAATTGGATGCCTTGATTAAATGGTTTGGGTGTTGGAGACACTGTATTCGTGTGTCACTACCACAACGTTAGGGGAGAAATGATCTGGAAAATTGCTGAACAGGTAGTACAGGGCAACCATAATCAATTAAAATCACTGCTCAAGGACAAAAATACCAAAGGAAATTGGCTTGAAGGGCCATTTTGTTCTTCTTTCTCTTTCGATCACTGTAATTAGTTGTCATCCCATCTCTACAAGGCTTCTCTAATCTGTCAAAGGAAAATTGACCTTCAAGTTTCTAGTTATTGACCAAGGCACACACTTAATATGCAAGTTTAGTTTCATTTATGAGTTATCTGTCAAAATGTAATCATCCTCTTCATATTTTTAACTAGTCATTGAGATAGCTGATTTTGTTCATGTAATATTTCCATTCTTCACAGTATTATAAATTCATTTTATTTGTTTTTTTTTTTCTTTTCTTTCATTGCTGAACCAGATTAAAACAATTGGGAAAAGAGAAAAACTTTCATCTCAGATTGTAATGTTTTTACTATTTTAACAAAAATTAAATGGGTGCCTACTATTAATAAGTAGTAGGCAATATCTAGACCCTATAGACACCACCACGAATAAGTCAGAAAAGGTTCTTTCCCCCATGGGGCCTTGTAGTCTAGAATGAGGAAAATTATAGTAAACAAGCAAATAAGTGAATGAAAATTAATTTCAGATGGTGATCACTTTTAAGAGGAAAATGTTTAAAAAAAAAGTGATATAACCAATAATGACTAGATGTTGAGTGTTCTTTTATTATGTGATGTCTAGAAAGGTCTCTATGAACTGTTATTTCTGGACATGAAATCAGACAAAAGAAGAAGGAATAAATCACCATGTGCTGACCTGAGGAGTAGAACGCTCCAATGAGGAAAAACACCAAAAATAGTAATATGTGTGATGTGTTGTAGGCACAAAAATTCGCCAGAATTACTGTACTGTAGCAAAAGGACGGTAAATTATGGTTTTAAACTACTTTCTTGGTGAGGAAAATGAGTTGGAAAGAAGAGCAAGTGATCCATGTCACCAAAAACATTTATATCCCATAATCATCAAATTAAAAACAAAGAAAGAAAGAATTAGGAAAAAAAGAAA